CTCTCTCTCTCTCTGACAATTAAGAAGAAAAGTGTGTGTGTGTGTGTGTGTGTGCCCTGCGTGCTCTCTTGTAAATGAACGTCAGTTTGGACTGTTCCCATCTCTTGTACATTTATTAGTCTGCTATCCAGCCGGGGGGGAGGGGGTGTTTGTTGTTGTTGTTTGTTTTTGTTGTGTGTGTGTGTTTCTGGTTGTTTGTTTGTTTTGTTTTGTTTGTTGTTGTTTTTTTTTGGGGGGTTGCCTTGCACTGTTTGTGTTTTGAGGGCATCTTTCAGATGTTTGGTGTTTTAAATGCTTATTTTGCTTACACTTTGAAAAATGGTCTTGAGGAAAAATGCATGATTCGAATGAGCTGCATCTCTTATACTACAATGTAGCTAGCTCTAATATCTTTGATTTTCTTTCGGCTTCCGTAATAATGCTCGATTATTCCTTACGCTTCTGAATGCGCACTTAGTTTACGTTCGAAATAAAGATGCTGTAAACTTTAACAATGCTGTATTCGTAAGAAAGGGGGTGACTAGATCTAGATATAATTTAGCAGGCGTTGTCTAGCCTCCGAGGAGCATTTTATTTTGGGCTTTGTGTTATTTTTGTTTTTGTTTTTTGTTGGGAGTATAATATATTCTGATAAGACTCGATACTTTACCTTTGTTTTGGTGAATGTTTTACGGCGCTCACAACTACATAAGGTCACATGGGCACGCGGAACACATTAATAAACATTTTCCGGTTTGGTAGGAATTTATTTTGAATTTTGCCCAAGTGGTGCCAAAACTTACTCGGGGCCACCAAGGGATCTCGTCATTGTAAGGTTTCGAACCCGGGGCCTATTGAATGAGAGGCGAACACGGTACCTCTTGACCACGAGGGCCCCCTTATTTACCTTGAGAACAAGGATGCTGAGAGCCTGAGAAAATAACCATAGTTGTCCTCCATCATGCCTGGTACGCGGTTTTTTTTTTCGACCAGGTGCTTTGTTGCGCGTCATTATTTGCGACTACCGGCGCCTGTGGTGTAGCGGTTTAGCGCTTCGCTTTCACATGCAAGAGACCAGAGTTCGATTTCTGGAATGGATTTGAAAAAAATATTGAGTATCTCGGTCTTTCTGCTAGGTTGTATCCCTCTCAGCCCAGTGTGGTCCTGACATGGACAGTTGGAAGCCCGCCTCCTTATTGACCTAAATTGTGTCGATGAGACACAAAAAACACTTACATTTAAACATTTTTTTAAAAGACGGATGCAACTAGCACGTTGCCATTGTCTTAATGTGCTTCAGAGTCTTGTGTATCAAGTCTTATATCACGTGTATCTGACCAGGTGCTGACGTCAGCAGGCTTCTCCCCGGTCGTAGTTCCCGTTCTGTCTTTCAAGTTCTGCAATGAGACTGCCCTGCAGACCCACGTAGCTGCTCTGCATCTCTTCTCCGCTGTCATTTTCACCAGCACCAGAGCTGTAGAAGCTGTCCTCAGTGTCTCGACAGGTAACAATACCTAAATACTTACTTTCTTTTTTATGTAGTTTTTTTTATGCCCACATCGACATAATTTAAATCATTTTGGAGGCGAGTTTTATCCCAGGCTGAGAGAAATATATCATACCAGAAGAAAGACAGATATTCGATAGAAATTCTCCCCACTCAGGAGTCGAACTAGATCTGCTTATGATGGCGAAGTGCCTAACTGCTACACCAAAGATCATTTAAAATACTTACTTATCGATGCTCATTCTAGGATAAGTCACTTTGAATGCGCAGTGCATGGTCTGGGGATTCAAGAAAAGAAGGAGTTCAGAAAGATAGAACAGATGTGTGTGGTGTGGTATATTTGTAACTTCCCTTCCAGAACGAGGGTACATTCATTTAAATCTCAGTCTGTAATAGGACTGGCAGATCTCAGAAGGTCTTAGAAGAAAAAAAAATATTCTAGGACTATGATTTGGGGGGGGGGGGGTTCAAAGGTTCAATGTATCAGGTGAGCTATTTGCTTGTGTTAGCTTCCATATCAATGGTGTGTGTGTGCAGACTGGCTTTGTCTAAGATTCTCACTATACTTTTGTGAAAAGTTATAAATTTTAAGTTGGTTTGACTATTTACAATCTTGGGCAGAAGGCTCTTTCACAGTGTCAATAATTCCCCTAGTTGGCCAGGTTATTGCTATTTAATTTTTTAGTCCCTTGGGGACATACATGGTCACAGCCTACTGGGCATGTGACACTATTTTAAATCAGCACATACTCTGTCACTACAGATTGCCAGGTATCCATTTTCATTTTGGCCTGCTACTCAGGGTGGAGAAACAGGACTTTCTAAAGGGCTCTTATAAACTGGGAAACAAAGTGAAATGTAAAGGGGCTTTTGCGATTAAATGAATTTATATTACTTTTAAAAAAAATTATTTTGGCACTTTCATTATCAGGTGAGCTTTCGAGGTTTGCGGACATCACCTGTTTTGTGGTTGGTCAGGCGACTGCATTGGCTGGTAAGTGCATTCAAGAGGTTCTCAGAGATTTGAAATGAAACTTTCAGATTTAATTTTAGAATAACCTTTTCAACCTGGTTTCAACTTTGTAATTTATATATGAGGAGGGTCATACATATTACAAAAAAGAGATAGTATGTGCACCCTAGCTGTCTCATGCAAGTAAAAGAAACATCTTTATATTCCAATGTCAGTTTGAGGGCCCAGGTGGTCCATGATGTGTGTATTAGTATGGTGTGTTTTGTCAATATGTACATGTAGACCATGATTTGTTTGATTTATATTCCGTCTTGTCTATCATTACCTGACGTATTTCAGGAAAGTACAAATATAGCATTTGGTTTTGGTTTTTTACATCATTGTTTATTTTCTTTACCAAGTGGAATTTTCACCAATAGCAGCAGTTTGTTGGTTCTTATAGGAAAGTTTTTTTGCTCAAATGTGATAAGTCTTGATGGTGTCCATGCAAATTTGCTCTACGCTTGAATTGTCATGTTCTCCCTTTTCTAATTCTACTGCATTTCATATTTCAGCCAAGAAAGCTGGCTTTGTTCCAACTGGAGAGGAGACAGGAAACGCAGAAGTGCTTTCACAACTGATCATAAAATGCAGTAAGTTACACACTAATTTCCAAACTTTTGCGAGTGCCTTTCTAATATATTTTAATGACCTGCCAGACACAAACATGTCATGTTTAAGGTGAAGGATTTGCCTCTGTAGTTAGAATTAAGAAGAAGGGACTAAAGATATTAGAGAGAAATTCACTAAAATATCACTACACTATCTTCTAAGCTTGTATGGTCAAGCATGTTATTCCACCTCTGGAGGGTGGATCTCTTTGTTATTCTCAACCCACCAAGGGATATAACACTTAATATGAAACTTAAAATACTTTGTTTATTATCTACAGTTGTGTCTGCCCTGCTAGAGAGTTGACCTCTTTCCTTATAACTGTTTCAAAGAATGGAACTTTTGAAAAATGGGTTGTATTCTAACTGCTACAAACTTGATCATTTTCAATTGTATTATAAAGATTTGGTGGAAGGAAAAATTATTTGTATGTGAGTTGTATTTTGTGAGTTTCCTTAAAGTCATGTTTTGTGTCAGTCTTCAATTACTTCAGTTCCATTAAAAATGTTTAAGCTGAGTTTCAGCTAGTGGAGTTCTCAGTTTATGCATTTGATGTCTTTGTTTTTCTTCTGATCTTCCCTGGACTGCTTGCTAATAAAATTTAATAAGGCACTTGATTTAGAGACAAAATATGGAAACCTGTTTTATATTTTCCTTACATTTTTATTATTATGTCTGTCACAGGAGATCCCCAAGACAAACGACCAATGTTGTTTCCTTGCTCCAGTTTGAGGAGAGATACACTTCCTGATTCCTTGTCAAAACACGGTGAGTTAATTTGTAGCATTGCTGTGCACCTTCTTCTGAGAATTAGGAACTACTCCCCAGAGGGGTGCTACTGACTGGAAGTGTCTTTAGGCCATTCCCAAAGGGAGGACATTAACTTGTTCTTATGCACAGCAGAATTGTAAATAGGCTGATTCATAGATGTCATGCTCATATCTGTACCTGAACTGCAACAAGGAACTGCTGCTTTTTCTTTCCTAATCCTTACTATCGTCATTTTTCCTCCACTTCTTTTGTATGTTTGTCACACTCTTGTGACCCTTATTTCTGGGATGCCTTGATAGTCGAAGCAGACTTTGTGCTGTTGAAGCTAGAGAGATGAGCAGAGTAAGTCTGATTCCCTGTGAGGACTTCTCTATTGACATCCACCCATTGGCGCTCATATGACCTTATGCAGTTGCAAGCGCAGTAAAACCTCTACTAAAACTAAAGCAGAACTAGGAACTTGTGTTTTCTTGTTAGACAACTCCTTTTTTGTCTTCACGTTTCTGAAAACTATTTATGTGTCTTCATGCATCAGATCGCAGGGTACTTTCAGCAAGATTTGGAGAAGGAACATATTGGTCTTTATGGGGGTGCTCCATTGACAAGGAAAATAGCAATAACAGACAGTATGAAAAAATCATAGGGTTCAATAGTCTTGGCCACATGAATTTGAATGTAGATATGTTAATAAAAGTGTGTGTCAAAGGAGTAATCGTCTTCCCATACAAGAAGTTTCACAAGCCGACATGCTGTATCCCTAAACCAACTTTTGACAAAATTTAAAAGTCTACCAAGTATATGAAGGCAAACAAAGCTACAGGAGCGAGATAGAATACCATTGACACTTTGGTTGTGATGAGCTGTAGACATTCAGATTGCTTTGTCTTGCATAGAAAATTTCTTTTTCTTTTTTAATGAGAATTGCTTCTGTCTATATCTATAAGTATAGGCATGAGATGGTTTTCATATTCATAATTTCAAGATATTTCCTCCTGTCATCATTCATTTTTGAGAGATTTAAATTTGTAATTTTTTGTTTGTGTTGTTCCATGCATAATATGAAGGTTTGTGTTTTTTACAGATATATCTCTGACAGAAGTGGTCGCCTATGAAACTTGTCCAAATGAGGAGCTACAAGATGTTCTACTCAAGAGCTTTGAAAACTATGTATGTTACCTTACTCAAGTGGGGTTTTTGAGGATGTGGTCTGACTGGTTGTTAATTAAGTTCATTCTCTTTATTCTTTTTAGTTTTAGTTTACAGCGCTCGCAACAGCCCATTTACAATTCTACTATGCGTAAGAACATGTTAACATCCCCCCTTTGGGAATGGCCTAAAGACAACTCCAGTCAGCAGCTCTGCCCTGATGGGGGATCTTTATTCTTAATATCAACTATTCTTTTTGGGGGACAAAATACACAAAATGTCTTGCAATACTCATAAATCATGTTCATGTCACTGTCTCTGGAGCTCATTTCATAAATTCAAATATAGCAAAGAGCATATATTTTGTGAATTGTACAAGGTTATTGCTGATAAAAGAAATAGTGTTGAGGAAATAGCGAAAAGCATCAAAAGCTGACTTACTTTGTAGGTTAAAAAGTAAATTTTTTTTTGGCGCTGCTCCTGCGGCGACAAGGTCGTGTTTACATCGGCTCTGCTTGTTTTGGAGCTCTTTTACTGTTTCTGTTTGGACTGTATGTCTGAAACTTTCCTTATTCCATTTCCAAAAAAGCAAGAACAGACAGATATAGAAATTCATTCGTACCAACTGCAGTGAGGTTACTGAACACACAGTGCTACAAATGAAACAGAGAGAGAGAGAATGAATGTTTTAAAGGAGCGGGTTGTCCCAGCCCGTGAGACATGTATTTACTTGGCCTAATGTCCTGTCTTGTTGTGCGTTTGCGTGAGTGCACCTTTAAGTCTAACTTTTGTAACGTCTACTGCCATTGTTAACGACCAAGACAAATTTCTCCCTGCGAGATGAATAAAGATTGTCATTGTCATTGTCATGATTCTCATATTACAACAGGAATACTCCTGTTTAGAGTAAGTATTTGTAGAATGGCATAAAATTATGGCAGAATTTGCTGTAAGGATAAAATGGAAAAATAAATTGTTTTTATCCAACTATCAGCCCACAAGACTTAGGTCTCCTTCTGAAATGTCTCAGGTTGTACACTCTTGAACTACCAAGTGTAAAGAAGTCTTTTTTATCTCTTACGTGTAATTTTTGTTTCTGAAAACAGCATTGTTGTCTGTGGTAAGAGGATAGGTTCTTCATCTTGCACCTAAAAGACACAAATTCAACCTTTTTGGGAAGAATATCAAATGTCTCTGTTCTTCTTCTGAAATGTGTCCCCCTCAACCATGGTTTGGCTTGATGGGTAGATTCAAAGAAGCCCACCTCCTATATGATCTTAACCATTAACACCTGTGGTCATAAAACTATGCCAACATTGATAACCCCGGCTGTTATTAAGAGTCACTGTGCGTATATTTATTGAAAATTAAACTTTTAATTAATTTTTTATAAAAATGAAGTATTAATTTTATGCTAATTTTACTAGGGATTAGTGTGCGCATTTTTGTGACAGAGCTCTTAGATTTTGGAGGCTAATCATGTGGATAGGATCGAAGAAAGTTTACAGCTTTGAGATAATGTCATTACTCAGAGCCTGTAAAAATTTTCAAATAGTGGATACACTGTTGCGCTTCTCACTTCTTTCTGCTGTTTATCATAATCACAAGAACTTTTATTTCTTTGAAGACAGTCTCTCTCCTATTCTATAATTTTATCATGCTAGCCACAACCCCCCTTCCTCTTTCTTAGTCTTCCAGCACTTTGTAAACAAATAGTCTGTTACAATCTGGGCAAAGTTTCAGTGTCACTTGATGTCTTGATCCCCAGGGTACTCCCGAGTATGCAGTTTTCTTCAGTCCCTCTTGCTTCCAGTTTGTCCATCAGCTTGTTACACCCGAGACACTGCCTTTAGATAAAGTCAAGGTGAGTATTGCACATCTCCCCCCCCCCAACCCCCCATACTAGTAGTCAGTTACCCATGGTTCTTGAACCCAAAAATTTATTTTCAGAGACAAATCACCAACAGGGTGAAAGGCACCTACCAGTTCATGAGTGTGATGATTTCAAATTATGGATTGCCAGACTAAACAAAAATGAAACTTTTTTATTCCTCGTCAACTCATTTGTATTTGGCAAGGAAAAGTCCGAACTTGTCAATGCTTTATAACCCTTTCGTTGCCAAGGGGCTTGCATTCCTATTGTCAGCTCTGATTTTCAGCTGAGGTTTCAAGCCTAGATAGCTGTCTTATGACTCAGTGTTAGTGGAATTATGGTCTAGATCTAGCCCTTTTATGGCCTATTTCGGACCCGGAGTCTTTGATCATATCACTTTCTTTACTTCACTCATAATCTCGAAAAGCTTGCAAACTTGTGTCAAAAAGATAATTTTTCTGCCTTGTTTTTAGTAACTTTGATGTTTATCCATTTACATTTTGTGAGAGCATGCAGTCATCAGCAAAAGTAGACCTGTTTTCATCGATCATTTGCAAGCGTAGCAATAAAGTAATACCAACAAATTTGGTACTTATATGCGAAATTTGTTATTCCTGATTCCGAATCCCCAAATGCTTATAGATAAGACTGCACAGAACAATTAAACAATTAGAGCCAGAAGCCAGGTGATTAGTGCGGATAAAGCTGAAAAGAGGGCATTTTCGTGATGCACCACTGAAGCCATAAGGCAACAAAGAGGTTAAACCAACTCTGAAAATCTTTTACTCATTAATTCACAAGACATATGATAACACGCTTGCTTATTGAAAATGTTGATAGCAATGTGAACATAAACCATGGGAGGTGCATAGTTCACTCACTTGATATCATACTGGAGAGTGATAGGGCTTGACCCACATTTGAACCCATAACTGGATGTCATGAAACTTGGTTGTTTAGAGAGTCCCCTCCATCTGATTGGTTGTTAGAGAGAGAAAACTAACTGATGCCCACTCTCTCCCTCGTCTCCTCCTCCCCCCCCCTCTCTCTCTCTCTCTCTCTCTTCCTCTCTCTCTCTCTCTGCTTCTCTCTCTCCCCCCCCCCCTCCCCAATCTCTTTTCCTCTTAGATAAATTTGTAAAGTTGAAAACGGTCTTGTACTTATACCACACTTTCTGAATGACAGTCGATAGAAGCAACACCCACTGAGTTATAAAATCTACCTCAGTTTATTGAATTTAATGTAGTTTCATTTTTCTTTTTCTCTTCTCTTTTCTGTCAGATTATTGCTCTGGGTCCCTCTGTAAACAAGGCAGTCAGAGAACATGGCTACGAGCCATATGCTGTTGCAGCAAAGCCAGAGCCACAAAGCCTGCTGCAAGTACTGTCGTGACCTTTGCAAGGAGCTAGTATGGAATGGTGTGCTCTAAGATTATCCTTACATTTGTGCCTTATACACTTATGGTAAATGCCATTCATTGTTTTGTGTGATGTCTCAAAACTGTGAACTGTGCTGTGCAAATTTTGTTGAGGTTTTCTTTTTGGTACTAAGTCATGCCCTAGGGTTTGACCCAATACTATAAAGTTTTACGAGTGGATGCAGGTTCTTACCAATTATTCTCCCCAATGTTTTTGATGCCTCTAAACTTTCATTTGCTTATTGGTCATCTCTTGTATTTCCAGCCATAGTTTGGATTGACAGTGAGAACAAAAATGTTATTTTGAAGACCAGTAATCAACAGTGCTATACCATGACCGTTTAAATGTTGCATGAACACAGCAGTTCATGCAAGGTTGAAAAATCAGATAACATTGTGAACTGTGAAAAGAGAATTATGACACGTTCTCAGCCTAAGATTGTGATGCTTGGAAATAAAGAAAAAGCAGGATATGAAGGAGATGGACTCTTTCCTCACTGTTTTTGAGAGAAAACTATATATTATCCACTTAAAACAGTCCCGCCTTATATTTGAAATCAACAGGTATGTCATTATTATGTTCTGATCCTACTGAGTGAAAAGTCGTATCTCAAATTGACCAATCAAATAGGTGTAAACATTTGTATTTCTCCAGACTTGGGTATTTAATTTAACATCTGAAATCTGCCCTCTTGATTTTCATACTCCCTGGAGATATTTGTTTTTCTTTTGGTTCTATCTCTGAGTGTTTGGTTTAAAAGAGATTTTCTGAGAGTACCATTGGTAGGTCCTCATTCTTTACCGCCCCCTCTCAGTCTTCCTTCTTTTAGCAGAAAATAACCACTATTGTCCCTTCTCTATACTCAACTAAACTCAATGTTGTTTGCAATTGTAGAGGCATAAGATTAACCTGTAAGCAGTGCGTAGTATCTGCACACACGTTTACTTCACAGTGAAGGGAGACCCAGTGATCTGCACACATGTTTACTTCACAGTGAAGGGAGACCCAGTGATTCACATCATTCTGAGAACTGCCCTCACCTGAGATGCATAATTTGTGAGGCAGCGTGGTGAAATCAGGCACTCGTCAAAATAGGCAAAGTGAAGAAACTAGCTTTTTCCGCAGGTTTGGGAATTTTTATAGATTTTTTTGTTTTTTGGCTGAACACCTTTCATGCCCTTTAAAGAACATATTTCTGTGTGGATTGTCCTGAAAACAGTTGATGTAAGGCATAAGAGATGTAAATTTTCAGTTTCCATGGGCTCTCAAGCTTAGGAAATAACTCAGCTTTGGCGGCCATATTCTCGCTAATTTTACCTCTGAAACAAGCCCACCCCTCCTCCTTCAATTACCAATATCTTGACTTGTATCCAAGATAAATAAATATTGTTTTCGTCCGAAGCAAGGCAAATGAACAAGCTTTAAGATGATACAAGTAACTCCATATGCCCTAAAATTGACGAGAGCTTGGTTTCACCACGCTGCCTCACATTTGTGTTTTGACACGGCATTACCCTTCATACTTCATGGCAGTCCTAAAATAAGTAAGAATATTGTGATTGTTTTTATATCTATAGTTGTTTTCTCATTTAGATCAAAAGTATTAGGGTTGGTGCGACTTTGTGTGCAATATTCTGCTTTTTGAGAAAATAATCTTGTAATTAGCTGACCTCAGCATTGATGTTTGTGACTTCTGATGGGTTCTCCTTTCCCCACCACACAGCTGTGCTATAAGCTATCAAAAGGGAGTTTGAAAGTAAGATAGACGTTTCTCTCTCACGTGTCCTATCTTCTGGTTTCAGCTTCTGTACCAAAGGTAGCCTTGACTTTTTTGTAAGGGTTCTCCTCTGAATGTCTTGTTTTTGGCACTTAAGTTTTAGTTCCGTATTATGATCGTAGTGTCTTGAGCTTTTGGACTTTTGTTATTTTAACATGGCCAGTTCAGTGTGTGTGTGTGTGTGTATTCATTGTATGATATAAGTTTTATTCTTCTTGGGTTTTTTTTTTTTTAATTTGGTCTCGTGTCAGTTTTTTTAAATGTACAAACCCTAGTTGGTTGATGTATAACTAATTTTATCCTGAGAGATGAACTAATATTTCATACCAGTTAGTATTTTGACTTACTCCAGTACTTTCAAATCTTGTTAGGTTTTATTGTATTGGTATTGCTGGTTAATATTGACAGTTACTTAGTAGGAGCTTATATTTTATCAATACTTTTGTTCACCTGTACAGTGTGTTAGTATATTAGCTTTCGAATCCAGCTGTATTTTGCGTAAAATGAATACTATCAGAATCGCGTGACCTGAATTTCTCATGTACAGAACATCAGATCTATTGTGTC